AGCAAAAAGAAAAAAGCTGGAAGTGGTGCTGTGGCTCAAGTGGTAGAGCGCTAGCCTTGAGCTAAAGAGCTGAGGGACAGTGCCCAGGCCCAGAGTTCAGTCCCCACGACCGGACCCCCCCCCAAAAAAAAAGTCATCGTTTATGTATAATTATTGAAATTAAATCATGTCTTTTTCTGGTTTTATTCATTTACCTCTTTATTTCAGAGGCCTTGTACCTTTGCACAATGCATGTTCTTATGGGCATTATGAAGTTGCAGAGCTTCTTGTTAAGCATGGAGCAGTAGTTAATGTAGCTGATTTATGGAAATTCACACCTTTACATGAAGCTGCAGCCAAAGGAAAATATGAAATTTGCAAGCTTCTGCTCCAGGTATATTTCAAATACTTCTGTGGACAGTGTAAATTGTTTAGCATAATTTAACTTTTTCCAGCAACTCTAGTATAAAATTACACTTATTGAGAGTGTACTAATAAGTTAATAATTAAATGAAGTTATCTGTTTCAATAAGTAGATTTCAGGAAGGAAAAATGTCTTGAAAATTATTTTAATTGACAAACTCAACATTTCACAGGTCTGTTTACTTGTACAGTTTAGTTATTTAACTTTAAATGCTTTGAAGTATATAGTTTATAAACCAAATTAATTTAACATTGATAAAGTTGATGGCACTAATGTCACAGTAAATACATTAGAAGATAGATTCCCACTTTTTGAAAGGTAAAAATCCATGAGTTATAAAATAATGATTCAGTTGATGGTAAACTTCAGATATTTTTATTGTAATAAATTATAAGGCTGCTGAAAATGTTTTTGATAACTAGGTACAAAAATATATCTCATTCTGGGCTGGGAAGGTTGCTCATTAGTAGAGTGCTTGCCTTTCATGCATGAGGCCCTACGTTTGATTCCTCAGCACCACATAAGCAGAAAAAGCCAGAGAGTGCTGTGGCTCAAGTGGTAGACCGCTAGCCTTGAGCTGAAGAGCTGAGGGACAGCGCCTAGGCCCAGAGTTCAGG